GAGCTGCGGGGGTGCATCCTTTGTCTCTGAGCTGTGCCTGAGGCAAGGCCTGGCTTGGGAGTCTGGAGTCCTCGGCTCCTTGCTTCGTACCCCGAAGGAGCTCAGCTTGGCGCTGAATGTGCACATAATAAAATTTTGGATACAAGGGTGCACAGGAGTCGGACCCCCTTGGGCACGGGGCGCCCCCTCCTTTTTGCACCCCTAGACAAGCGGCAGCGCCCAGGCCTTCTTCTTTCTGTGCAGGCGTGCGGAATGGGGCATGTTGCAAGCTTTCGGGGTTAGGGTAGTGCCCCTGTCTAGCAAGATGATTGGCAGGGTGCGCGCGCTGCCGGCGAAGTCCCTGCCTGTGACATCCGGCAAGGATTCCATTACTTGGCTCTACAGCCCCCGCCTGCTTTAACCTGATTTCCCCGACACACGCACAATCCGGACTGCTGTTTAAAGACCTACTCCAGAGTAGCTCACGAGTGCCTGAGTGGAGATGGAATACAAACAACTCTACCTACTGTTTGCTGTTCTTTATCCCGGAGGTCCTCAATCTAGGTCTTAGGAGACAGTGAAATGCAAATTGAGAAAACTTTCCGTAAGTTTGGGTCCCATCAATTTACAAATAACTCATGGGTTTGCAAATGACTTGTTTGTAACATCATCTGGCTTGCCGGAGCTCATAATCTTTATTCCCACAAGGGCTGATTATACCCTACTTACCACAAAAAAAAAAAAGTGGATCCCCAAGCCAAAGCCACAGGGCTTTATCCCTTTGGTGAGGACTAACCGCAGTTTTTCTGATTTCATACACAATGGACAATTAGCCCTTAAATTGTAATCATTTCCTAATCGTACTGTGTAGCTTTATAGACGTTCATAATGCTTATATATGATCTTGTTCTTGTTACTAGTCTTCATGTGCAATTTACTGAAAACACCTATTTATAGGCCATTAAGCTTACAGAGGGCTGGTGAGATGGCTCAGTGGTCTAAAGCACCTACTTTAGAACAAGCTTAGCAAAGCACAGGGCCACAGTTCAATCCCCCAGCACCACATGCCTGCCAGCCCCGCGCCCTGGTGGGTTGAGCTGGCCACACACACATGCACACACGCACACACACAAATAAATAAAAAATAAAAAAAAAATTTTAAAAAGCTTACAGAATTTTCTCCTAAACATTACAATTAATTTTATGTTTATTTCTCCCTGCTGCAAACGATCATAGAAACGTTGCAGGCAGAGAATCTGTCTCTTGTGCTTCAAGGAATCGTCCGCGCCCTTCCTTCAGGTGTCATTTTAAATGTAACCCTCTTGGTCCAATTGTTTCATTTTTTCTCCCCCCCCCACACACACACGCACACAGGCAACCTGGCCTCCAAATCCCTCTTTATTGCCTTGCTTTTATTCAAAACATCAGTCACCACCTAATAGAGTATTTTTTACTCACATAAATTATTTATTTTATGTGCAGTCTCTTCCCACCAGAAAGTAAAGTACAGACCAGAAAAGCATTTCATACAGCCGGGGCTGGTGGCACACACCTGCAGTCCCAGCACTGGGAAGGCAGAGGCAGGATAGCTGTGAATTTGAAGCCAGCCTGGGCTACATAGTGAGTTCAAGGCCAGCCTGAACTGCATAGCAAGACTTTGTCTCAGAGAAAAAAAAAAAAGTAATAATAATTTTTTAAAGTTTCATCAAACAAAACAAAACAAAAAAGTCTAAGTTTCATTTGTTTTATTTACTGCTATGCCCTCAGGCTCAGGGCTCCCTTGTCCTTAGTATGTTCTCAGTAAATACTAAACTGATGAACAGGGCTGGTGAGATGGCTCAGTGGTCTAAAGCACCTACTTAGAACAAGCTTAGCAAAGCACAGGGAGCGCGGTTCAATCCCCAGCACCACATGCCAGCCCCAGCCCCTGGTGGGCTGAGCTGGCCACACACACACACACACACACACACAAATAAATAAATAAATTTTAAAAATAAATAAATAAACTGATGAACAGGCCTCTCTAGAAAGTGAGCAAGACAGAGAAAGTGAGTTGCTTAGCCAGTGGAAGCAGCCTGAAACAAGTCCCTGAACTACGACCGGCACAAGAGCAGGCAGGAACCGCTCCTGTCTTGTTATCGTCTTCTGTCTCCAGTTCTTACTGGTGTCTGGCTCAACAGATATTTCTTTCTTTCTTTCTTTTTTTAATAGATATTTCTTGAAAAGCAGCCAGAAACTTTTCCCTCTTTTATCTGCCCCACCATCGAGGGCTCCCTTTTGCAGGAGAGGACCTGCTGGCAGGATAGTCACTCTGACGTCCCTCTTCTGTGGGGTAACCATGCAAGGCGCAGCTTCCCAGCCCAGAGTTGGGAGAACAATTGCTTGAAAAATGCCCTTGAGTGTTGCAACTTCACAGGGTGTCAGCAGCACAGACAAAATAATTATACAGTCCAAATACAAAGAGCCTGATGTGGGACCTAAGAGAGCATCTAACTTTTTTTAGGTGTTCTTGTTTTTTGGTTTTATTGAGACAGGGTCTCACTATGCAGTCCGGGTTGGCCTTGCACTTGTTACGCAGGCTAGGCCTGCCTTAAACTTGAATTGATCCTCCTTCCTCAGCCTCCCCAGTGCTGGGATCATAGGTGTGCACCGCCATGCCCAGATGAGACCATGTAAATTTTCCTTCTTCCCTTTTTTTTTTTTTTTTTTTTTTTTTTTTTTTTTTTTTTTTTTTTTTTTCCTTAAAACTAGATTAGGGCTGGGGAGATGGCTCAGTAGAATAAGCACTTCCTTGGAAAGTGCAAGGGTCTGAGTTCAATCCCCAGTTCCAAAAAAAAAAAAAAAAAACTAGATTAGGCACAAAGCTGAGGCCAGAGGATCATTGCAAGTTCCAGACCAGCCTGAGCTATGAAGTGAGCTCAAGGCCAGCCTGAATTACACAGGGAGACCCTGTCTCAAAATAGCAAGAAAGAAAAATAGATTATAGCACCAATTCAGATCCTGTCACTAAATAAAAAAAAAAAAAAAAAAAAAAAAAAAAAAAAAAGCCTTGCTGGGTTTGGGCATATATACCTGTGATTCCAGCACTTGAGAGGCTAAGGCAGGATGATCACAAGTTTCAGGGACCTTGCACTATGTAGTGAGTTAAAGGCCAGCCTGGACGACATAGCAAGAGCCTGTCTCAAAAAATCGATTAGTGCTATCATGACTTTCCTCACGATAGCCTGCCCTGTACCCTCCAGGACATATTTTTATCTCGCTTCTCTTATTTTACTTGACCCAAACTTATTCTGCACAATCAATTTCTCCCTCATGCTTCACTTCTATCTTTTCAAATAAACTTTGCCACTGCTAAAAAAACAAGAGGGACCGGGGAGATGGCTCAGTAGAATAAATGCTTGCCTGGCAAGTGCAAGGGCCTGAGTTCAAGCCGCAGTTCCACACAAAATAAAATAAAAATAAGAAATAAAAAATAAAAACAAGTAATTAAATAATTAGTTGATGGAAAAGAAGTTAAAATAGCCCGTTTTACTAAGGATGTCCGGAAATAAGACTTCTATGGATGTGGGTGGTACCCGGGTGTGCTGCAGTCCCAGCACTCAGGAAGCTGAGGTAGGAGGATCACCATGTGTTCAGGGCAGGCCAGGGCCTCACAGAATGAGTTCAAGGCCAGCCTGCATTGCAAAGTAAAACTGTGTAAAAAAAAGTTTAAAAAAACAAAAAAAGTGAGTAGAAGTAAAATTTAGATAATCTGGAAGAACTTGAAATTTTACATACTTTTCTAGGAATTTATCCCAAGGATATAATCATGGCTAAGTGCAGACATTGTAACATGATTTACCATAAAATTTGATACCAGCAAGACTGATACTTTGGGAAACTGGTGAAGAAGACAAAAAAGGGCAAGAGAGAAGGAAGAAATAAAAACAAGAGTAGCGAACTGGGAGATGGCTCAGTGGAACAAGCGTTTCCCTGGCAAGCGCAAGGGTCTGAGTTCAATCCCCAGTTCTGCCAAAAAAACAAGCGTAGAACAGAACAACAATTCAAAAACAAAAAAACCTGGAAAAAAAAGAAGAAAAAGGAAAAGAAAGGAAGAAAGAAGGAAAGAAAGAAAAAATAAAGGAAAGCAGTCCACGTCAAGGCATGTCTCTGCTGCCACTAGCAGACAATGTGGGTAGACAGAGTCCAGATCCAAAGCGATGAATCCCGGCAAGCCAGTCCGCTTCAGGGCAGGGGAGTGGGGGCTCCCACCAAGCCTGCACCTTTAAATCCACTCCAGTTCAGACTTGTTTCCGACTGCGATGCTGGCACCAGACCTCTTCAGGCTGCTGCAGTCCATGATACCATTAGTTGTATTAATTAATTTTTCATTATTGTAACAGAATGCCTGAGGATGGATAACTTTATAAAGAAAAGAGGTGGGGCTGAGGCAGAGCTCAGTGGAAGAGCTCATGCTTGTGCAAAGCCTTGTTCAATCCCAACCCCCAAAGGCGGACAGATTTATTTGGGATCTCAATTTTGTTTCACCAAGCGACGACCTTAGGGGCAGTCCCCGTGCAGCACAAGAGACAAGGGGAGTACATTATCTTCTGCTTTCTGTGTGTCTGTCTCTCCCCTCATAAAGGCAGCACTATTCAGTTGTGGGGTCTTCACCCTGATAGCCTATTTAACTCCCACTGTCTCCCAAATGCCCCATTTCTGAAAACCAAATTCATCTTAATCCCTGACCACAGAATTAACATTTCAGCTCTGGCTCCCCCAGGGCCTCCT